CCGCCCTGCCCGCAGCTGTGGGCTGAGCGCGGACGGGACGGCGGTGGCCGCGGCCGAGGACGGCGCTGAGGAGGCAGGTATGTGGGCCCGGCTCGGGCCGGGGGCCTGGGGCGCGGGCCAGGTCTCTCCTGGAGGAGGGGCGAAGAGGCTGCCGAGCAGTCTCGGGTGGAGGGGCGGCCCGGCCCGTTAGGGCCAGCGCTCGGGGCGGGGAGGACCGGCCCGGGGACGCCGAGCTCGCCGCGCTGTGACCTTGAGGTGGCTGCTCACCCTCTCTGAACCTCAGCCTTGCGCCTCAAGCCGACTGAGGGGTCGCGAGGATCAGGGAGTTACTGCTCGGTGGGCCGTATGGGCTCTGCGTCATTCTCCTGGGCGGACGGGGAGCCTGGGCTCCAGCACTATTACTTCTAGTCTCCCCGGGCGTGGGAAGGGGGCCAGGGTGAAGGGGCATGGTGTGTGGGGCGACGGGGTGAAGGTCGACGGGGCTGGGGGCTCTGAGTGAGGGGCACCTGGGTGAGGGGGTTCGGTGTGAGGGGGGCCTAGATGAGAGGGACTTTAATCGGAGTTATGGAGTTATTTAGGATCTTTTGAAAGTTTTTCTTGGACTAGAAGTTCTTCACTCGAAGGCCTGTCTCGGCCTGAGTGTTAAGCTGAGAGCCCAGCACTTTTCTCCGCTTCTCGGCTAGTGGGTTCCTGGCCTCGGGCGCTTTTTCCCAGATGCCTGAGCTGAGCAGAGCAGCTGAGTTCAGGAGCTGGCCTCCCGCTGACCCGTTCACGTCCCCCGCTGCTTTGCCCAGGACCAGGCCGGGCGCTTGCCATGGGGCACTGCCGCCTTTGCCACGGAAAGTTTTCCTCAAGGAGTCTCCGCAGCATCTCCGGCAGGGGGTCTGGGGAAAGTGTGGGGAGAACACCCCCGGGGGAGCGCATTTTCATCAGGGACTTCCAGCGCCTGCTAGGGGTGCCTGTTCTCCAGGACCCAGCCCTGTCACCCTTCGTCTGCAAGAACTGCCATGCCCAGTTCTACCAGTGCCACAGCCTCCTCAGCTCCTTCCTGCAGAGGGTCAACGCCTCCCCGACTCGCCGCCAGAAGGCCTGTGCAAAGTAGGCACTCATCTGCACTCACTGGTTGGGGAGTGTCCACCAGGCACCGCAGGTGCTGTTCTGGGTGCAGGTGTGGGAGCAGGCCTGGCCAGGAACCTCTGTGGAGGGGACATAGTGTGAGCACCACTACGCAAGTGTGGGGAGGGAGGTGGACAGGAAGATGGGTGGGAGGTGAGGCTCAAGCAGGGCTATGAGGAAGGGGAGAGCACAGTATTTCAGGGAGAGTGGATAGCACTTGAAGGACAGCAGGACATTCTGAGACTTTGGGGACAGCTGTGAAAGTAGGACAGAGCCTTGGGCTGCTGGCCCTGCTCCTCCTGCTCATGGCCATCCAATCCTTTGCAGGGCTGGGACCCAGCCCCAGACTGCTGCAGAGGAGGGCACGTGTCCGGGTGAGTGTCCGGGTACACGGGCAGCCGGGGTGGCAGGTGTTGGCCAGGGCTGACTCTTCAACTCTCCTCAGGGGACCTGGTCACGTGGAGCCCCCAGTGCCTGCAGGCCCTGGTTGGGTGGGTACACGGGCACGCAGCCGACTGTGGGGCCCTGCCCAACCTGCAAAGGACACTTTCCTCTGAGTACTGCGGTGTCATCCAGGCTGTGTGGGCTTGCAGCCAGGGCCACGACTACGTCATGGACACAGACTCTGGCTGCGGGGCCCTCGTGCTGGACAGCACGCTGGCGGTCAAGTGGGAGTGGGACAAGGAGACAGCCCCACACCTCACCCCCAGTTGGGGGCCCCACCCTGCTGGGGCTGCCCTCCAGCACTGCCAGGGCAGAGGGACCAAAGCTGAGGCTGAGACAGAGGCACTGCCCAGCATGGATGTGGCCCAGCCTCCCTCAGATGGCAGTCCTGTGGGGCCTGGGCAGAGCCCCCTGCCCCAGCCAAGTCCACCCCCAAGTGGGGCTCCAGGTAGGAGGCTCCTCTGGCCTGTGTTAGACCCAGATTCCATCATCCTAAGCTGGGGGGTTGTGGGTTGCTGCAGAAGGGGCTAGCGGGGATGCAGGGGAGTTGGCTCAGCCCCTCAGAGGGGCCTTCAGCTGCTTGCTGGGCTGAGGAAGCCAGGGCTGCCAGCTAGTTAGGGCCCTGGGCCCTTCATGAACAGCGTGTTTGAGCAGTTTCTGTAAAGACACGTGCCTCAGGCCTCTAGTCTTCCTCTAGCCCCACGCTCTGGGCAGAGGGCACTGGCTGTTCCCGTGGGTTGAGAGGCCTGAAGGGAGAGAATAATGGGCCCCTTGTCCATAGGGTTTGGGGGAGGGGGAGGGCTGCTGCTGTCAAGGCTGATGTTTTGGGCCAGCTGCAGGTCACTCCCTGGACCTCAGCCAGACATCCTGAGGACAATCCAGTGGGACCAGTGTGGACAAGGGAGAACACAGGCCCCTTGTTTGGCGTCGGATCCCATGGCAGCTGCTAGGGGTGTTAGGAGGGCAGGGGCCAGCTTTCCATCCTGCTTCTGTCAGCCCTCAAGTAGCCTCAGCTACTCCTGTGTCACAGTAGGTGGCACTTTAAAGAAGTCCAGATCGGTGTGGGTCAAGGAGCCTTGGGACAGGGATGGGCAGGGAGTTGCTGTGGCTTCATGAGCATGTTGGTACCACTTGGCCTTTTAAACTATTTTCACAAGATACTTTGATAAGAATGGTTCTTTCAATATCTGAGACCACCCACAGCATATAGGTACCCCTTCCCCCCAAGGACAGAGCCTGAACCTATGGAGGGGCTGGGCTTGCTCATGTGGGACATTCCCCAGGGCTTCTGTGACCAGCACTGGATATGGGGTGCATGGGGTCTGAGGCTGAGGAGGTACTGTGGTAAGAGGAACCTTTTCTCTTTCTCAGGGCAGTTGAGTGAGAAGCAGGTTCTGTCTTCAACATCGGATGATCGGGTAAAAGACGAGTTCAGTGACCTTTCTGAGGGGTGAGAGAAGAGTGGGTTTCAACAGCCTAAAATTTCTTCTTCGAAAACCAAACTCCGCCATCCTAGGTGCTTGCTGCCTGGCCCCCTGCTCAGGACCCTCCCCCTACTCTCAAGGTTGGGAGGAAGGAGTGGTGGGAGGCTTCTGAGGTAGCCTCAGGACTGCACTTGGCAAGGTTTTTTCCTGTTGGGGGCTTCTCAGGCCTTGAGGGCCCTGGCCTGATGTAGCACAGAGGAGCATGGTGGTCTTCTCTTTGACTTCAGGCAGGTGGATGTTCCCTTGTTAAAGCTGCCTCCTGGTTGGGTCCTTCCCTGTTGCTCACTGTTCTTGTTCTTAAAGCCTTCAGTCTTATCCGAACCCCAGATGTCACCAGTGCAGAGGAGGCCCTTGGCTGTAACTTGAAGCAGAGGCTTCGTGCAGGAGGGGTGGAGGAGGACAGAACCTCTCCTTGGAGGTCTTCCTCAGGGTCCGCTCTCTCCTGTGTCTGGCTGGATGGTCAACATAGCCCTCGTCTAGGCCAGAGAAGGACAGCACCATTTTGTTGCTGCCTCCGTGGGTGCTCAAAATGAATGACCAGTGATTCTGGAAGTACCACGGTGAGGGCTGGCTGGCCACCTGGGGCATGGAGCCTGTGGGCATGGCTGTGTGTGCTGCCCGGCAGACTTAGTAGCAGCTTACATGTTAGGGTAAAGGTTACAGATGGGTAGGATTTTTTTGTTTTTTTGCCTGTGTGAACTTTGAAATGACTAAGAGCTAACCTGACAGCTAGATGGAGCCTGCAGTTATAGGGTGAGGAGCTAAGTTCTGAAGCCCATTTGGGGCAAAGCCACTTGCTCTGGGGGTCTCATGCCCTGTGAGGCCTCTAAGGGACCCTTCAGTGCAGGATCCTGGCTCAGAACGCAGCTGCGAGTGGTCTCCTGGCCTGTTTAACTTCAGTGGCCCATCCTGCTAGGAAGTGGGGTTGGAGATCTGGGCATTTTAGGTTTCTGTGGGAGTGTCTGGGAGAACTGAATGTTGGCCCACCTGGCCTGCCCCCTGTCCGGGGCCTGGCTGAGGGTCCTTTCTCCTCCCCAGAGACTTCCTGAGTGATGATGAACGTGACAAGAAGCAGAATGCCCCGTCGTCTGATGAGTCCTTTGAGCCGTACCCGGAGAAGAAGTAAGGCCACTGTCTGGCCTGGGAAGAGGTGGTTTGGGGGATGGTGTCCAGCGTGGGGTCAGAGTGTGGGGGTCAGCAGGGTATGAGGTGGGACAGGGCAGGAAGGAGCAGCTGGTGGCCATCAGAGAGGTTCTTATTTATTTTGAGGTCAATATGCATGTAAGAAAACATTTGCCATTTCAATGTTTTTTACATGTACAGTTCAGTGATATTAATCACCATTTTGTTGTTAAACATCACCATTATCCATTTCCAGATTTTTCCATCACCCTTAACAGAAGCTCAGTGCCCACTAAGCAATGATTCTCCCTTCCTCTCTCCCTTCCATCCCTCATAACCACCAGTAAACTTTCATCTCTTTATACTTGCCTGTTGTAGATAACTCATGTAAGTAGGATCATGCAATATTTGTCTTTTTGTGACTGACTTATTTTACTCAGTTTGATGTTTTCAAGGTTCATGTTGTAGCATGTATCAGGACTTCATTTCTCTTTATGGCTGAGTAATATTCCATTGTGTGTATATACCATATTTTGTTTATCCGTTTATCTGATGATGGATATTGGGTTGTTTCTACCTCTTGGCTATTGTGAATAATGCTGGGATGTTTCTGCAAGTTTCTGTTTGTGTTCTTGCTTTCACTTCCTCTGGGTATACACCCAGGAGTGGAATTGCTGGATCATATGATGATTCTTTGTTTAACTTTTTGAGAAACTGCGAAACTTTTCCATAGCTGATGTACCATTTTACAATTCTACCAGTAATGGCTGAGAGTTCTAATTTCTCAGCATCCTCACCAACACCTGTTGTTTTCGGTTTTTTGTTTTTTTAACCATAGCCATCTTAGTGGGCGTGAAGTGGTATCTCATTGTGGTTTTGGTTTGCATTTCCCTAATGACTAATGATGTTGAGCATTTTTTCATGTGCTTGTTGGCCATTTGTATTTCTTCTTTGATGAAATGTCTGTTTTCAAGTCCTTTGCCCTTTTTTCGATTGGGTTGTTTGTCTTTTTGTGTTAAATTGTAGAAGTTCTTTATATAGTCTGGATATTAAATTCTTACCAAATACTTGGTCCCCAAAATTTTATTCCCAGTCTGTGAGTTGTTTCTTTACTTTCTTCATAAATTCCTTTGATGAACAAAAGATTTTAATTTTGATGAAGTTCAATTATCTATCTTGTCTTTAGTTGTTCTTGCTTTTGGTGTCATATCTGAAAAACCCGTTTTTGAAGACTAGGACCCAAAGCATTACCACTGTGTTTTCCTCTAAGAGTTTCATTTAGGTCCTTGATCTACTTTGAGTTATTTTTTTATATGGTGTGAGGTATGGATTCAAGTTCATTCTTTCCTCATTGGATGGGCTTAGCATACTTGTTGAAAATCAGTTGACTATAGATGTACAGGTTTATTTCTGGACTCTTAATTCTGTTTCATTGGTATATGTGTCTACCATTATACCAGTACTAGACTTTTTTTTTTTAAATTATTTTATTGTACTTCAGGTGAAGGCTTACAGAACAAATAGTTTCTCATGAAAGAGTAGTACACATGTTGTTTTATGACATTGGTTAACAACCCCACAACATATTAACCCTCTAACTTCTCAACCTTTTTTTTTGGTGAAATTACACATGACCAAAAATACACCGTTTCAAAAATTTCTACATGCACAGTTCAGTGACATTGACTACACTCTTCCAATTGTGCTGTTATTCTCACTTAAGATGAAGGCTTACAGAACAAAATAGTGTCTCATTTAACAGTTACTACAAATGTTGCCCTCTGACAACGGTTAACAATCTCACTACACATCAACAATATCCTTACTCAACCTTGGGTTCCCTATCACCAGCTTCCTTGTCCCCTTCTGCCTTCTGGCCCTTGTCACTGGACTCCTGTACCTCGTTAGTCTCATTTGGTTTTACGGGGCTGTCCACTCCCAGGCTGAACAGTGAACCTCGGAGGTAGCTTCACCACTGAGCTAAAAGGGTGTCTGGGGGCCATACCCTCGGGGTTTCTCCAGTCTCCTTTAGGCCAGTAAATCTGGTCTTTTTTTTGTGAGTTAGAATTATGCTCTACATCCTTCTCCAGCTCTGTCCAGAACTCTCTGTTGTGATCCTGGTCAGAGCAGTCAGTGGTGGTAGCTGGGCACCATCTAGCTATACTGGACTCAGTCCGGTGGAGGCCTTGGTAGCTGTGGACAGTTAGTCCTTCGGACTAATCTTTTCCTTGTATCCTGTTCTCTTCATTCTCCCTTGCTCCCGAAGGGATGAGACCAGTGGAGTATCTTAGATGGCCGCTCACAGGCTTTTAAGACCCCAGACACTACTCACCAAGGTAGAATATAGAGCATTGTCTTTATAAGCTGTGTCATGTCAATTGAACTAGATTTTCCCCGAGACCATGGTCCCCAGAGCCCTCCGCTCAGCAATTCAGTCCCTCAGGGAGTTTGGATGTGTCTATGGGGCTTCTATGACCTTTCCTTGTACAAGTTGTGCTAGTTTCTCTTGTATTGTGTACTGTCTCACCCTTCACCCAAGATATCACTTATCTATTGTCTATTTAGTATTTCCCCACTGTGGGGTTTTTTTGTTGTGTCTTTGTCTGGCTTTGGTATCAGAGTAATGCTAGCCTCATAGAATGAGTTAGGAAGTGTTCCCTCCTTTCCTGTTTTTTGGAAAAGTTCAAGAAGGATTAGGGTCACTTCTGTATAATTCTCCAGTGAAGCATTCTGGTCTAGAATTTGTCTTTTTTTGGGAGGTTTTTGATATTCATTCGATCTCTTCACTTATTATGGGTTTGTTGAGATTTTCTGGTTTTTCTTGAATCAATTTAGATAGTTTATATGTTTCCAGGAATTTGTCCCTTTCATCTAGGTTATCTAATTTGTTAGCATAGAATTGTTCGTAATATTCTTTATGATCCTTTTTATTTCTGTTTAAAGTTGGTAGTAATGTCCCCTTTTCAAAAAAACAACTTTTGGTTTCATTGGTTCTCTTTTTCTATTTTCTGTTTCATCTGTCTCTTGCTCTGATCTGTTATCTGTCTTTCTCTTTGCTTTGAGTTTGGTTTGCTCTTGTAGTTCAAGTTGTAAAGTTGAATTATTGATTTGTCATCTTTCTTTTTAAACGTAAGTAGGCATTAACAGCTGTAAGTTTCCCTCTCAGCATTGCTTTTACTGTGTCCCATAAGTTTTGATATGTTGTGTTTTCATTTTCTCTTGACTAAGTATTTTCTGAGTTCTCTTTTGAATTCTTCCTGACCCATTGGTTGTTTAATGTGCTATTCAGTTTCCATGTATTTATGTATTTTCCAGTTTTTTTTCTGTTATTAATATTTAATTTCACTCCATTGTGGTCAGAGAAGATACTTAGTATGACTTCAGTCATTTTAAATTTATTGAGACTTGCTTTGTGACCTAACATTTGGTCTGTCCTGGAGAATGTTCCATGTGCACTGGAGTAGATGTATATTGTCCTGTTATTGGGTGGACTGTTCTATATATATTTTAGGTCTAGTTGATTAATAGTATTGTTCATATTAGAGACTGTATTTATTGATCTACTTTCTAGATGGTCTGTCCATTGAAAGTAGTGTGTTGAAGTCTTCAGCTTTTATTGTAGAACTGTTTCTCCCTTCAGTTCTGTTAGTGCTTGCGTTATGTATTTTGGGGCACATATATAATTGTTATATCTTTTTGATAAACTGACTCTTGTTATTATGTGATGTCTTTCTTAGTCGTTTATAGCAGATTTTGACTTAAGTCTATTTTGTCTAATATTAAAATCATCACCCTAGCTCAGCTCTCTTTTGGTTACTGTTTGCATAGAATATTGTTTTCAGAGAGGTTCTTTTAACATACTTTTTAAGGAGGAGGATAGTCACCGAAAATGTTTTCATAATTTTCTTCAAAAGTTTTTGATTTTGATGCTTAGGAGGGGGTCAAGCTTTAGTTCAGAGAATGTGCTCATGCTGCAGGTCAGTTCAAGTAGCAGGTGCATCCTGTGCTACTCCCCTCCCCCCATGGTTGGTACGAGGTCCTGCTGTTGTACCTTTACTGAGTGTACAGCTTTGGAGGCAAAGGTCAGTCTGAGGCTGGTCAGAGTTAGCATGGAGACCAAGACGGCCTTGCCATCAAAACTTAGGAAAAGCCTTGGTTCACACTTGAGGAGATAAAAATACACATGAAGGGAGTCCATACTTGTGCCTGGCACCAGCTCCTCCTGTGTTTGCAGGGTTTCTAGTAGGAAGAGTGAAGAGGCTAAGCATTCTGAAGAACCAAAAACTCGAAAGAAACCAGGGCCCAAACCGGGCTGGAAGAAGAAATTCCGGTGTGAGAGGTGAGGAGCCCGCAGTGGAAGCACATGGGTACACGTGTATGTGGGTGGATGCCAAGTGTGGGTATATGTGTGCAGGTGGGGTGTGGGTGCACATGTGCATGCGGGTGGATGTGGGGGGATGGGTGCACGTGCGTACATGTGGGGCATGCATACATGTGCACATGTGCATGCACGTGTGTGCATGTGGGTGGATGCGGATATGAGTGGGTATGTGTGCAGGTAGGGGTGTAGGTACATATGTGCACATGCAAGTGGATGTGGGTGTAGGTGGATGTAGGGGCGTGTGTATAGGGTGTGGGTGCACGTGTGTGTGTTGGGTGGGGGTGTGGATGCACGTGTGTGGGTCCTTGTAGGGTGGCTCACTCATTTTCTCTCTGCCCTGCAGGGAGGAGCTGCCCACCATCTACAAGTGTCCTTACCAGGGCTGCACAGCCGTGTACAGGGGTGCTGATGGCATGAAGGTGAGCAGTGGGCACTGCGGGTCATGGGGGTGAGGAGCGGCCATGTTGGGGTATGGTGGTGAATCTGGGTGGTGCTCTGTTCCTGCAGAGCCAGGTGCAGGATGCCAGCCTAGGACTAACATGAACCAGCACTGCTGGCCCAAGAGGGCAGCCAACTGTCAGCCTGTGGCCTGAGCAAAGTGAAGCTCTGAAGGAGAGGTTGTTGCCCAGTGAGGAACACTTGGCTCTGTCCTCCTTCTGGGAAGGCCTGCCTGGCAGAGCCCACTTGCCTGTGTGTGGAGCAGGTAGCCTGGGAGGGGCAGTGCTGTCCTGGGTGGTGCTCAGAGTCTGCTGGTCTTGCAGAAGCATATCAAGGAGCACCACGAAGAGGTCCGTGAGAGGCCCTGCCCACACCCTGGCTGCAACAAGGTGTTCATGATTGACCGCTACCTGCAGCGCCACGTGAAGCTCATCCACACAGGTAACTGCCACAATGCTGACCCTCCGTGGCAGGTGGCGCCCCTGCTGGCTTCTCAGGCAGCAGCCCAGAACACATCTGTTCCTGTACAGACCCGGGGTCTGCCTTGTCCATGGTGGTTGTGAATCTCCAGCCCTTCTGTTCTTGGCCCCTCCCCACTGCTCATCAGGGCTCTTTAGGTCAGACATGGTGAAGGGCACATAGTGAACTGAGTACATGGGAAATTGTAAGATGGACAGCTCCTCACTCAGGGTCCATCTAGAAGCTGTGCCAGGTCTCTGCAGCCTCCTGAGAGTGTTGTCATTTAAAACATTTTTGTGTTCTTTTGGATTATAAAAATAAAGCATGAGTTATAGAAATTTCAGTAGGAAAAGTGCAAAGGAGACAGCGAGTGCCCTGCGGCCACACCCCTCCATCCCTGCTCCACCAGCATGCAGAGTGCTTGTCTTAGCTAGTGCTGCTATAACAGAAATACCATAAGTGGATGGCTTTAGCAAAGAAATTTATTCTCTCACAGTCTAGGAGGCTAGAATTCCAAATTCAGGGTGCCAGCTCCAGGGGAAGGCTTTCTGTCAGCTCTGGGGAAGGTCCTTGTCATCAGTCTTCCTTTGATCTAGGAGCCTCTCAGTACAGGGACCCCAGGTCCAAAGGAAGCACTTCTTTTCTGGTTCTTCCTTCTTGGTGGCATGAGGTCCCCCAGGCTCTCTGCTCGCTTTCTCTTTTATATCTCAAAAGAGATTGACTCAATAAGATACAATCTAATCTTGTAGATTGAGTCCTGCCTCATTAACATGACTGCCACTAATCCCACCTCATTAAAATCATAGAGGTAGGATTTACAACACAGGAAAATCAAATCTGATGACAAAATGGTGGATAGTCACACAATACTGGGAATCACGGCCTAGCCAAGTTGACAGATGTTTTTGGGGGTACACAATGTGATCCCTTACAGCGCTCATGTCTCACATCTGTTTTACAACTCCCAATCTCAGTGATGTGATGGCACACGTGTGAGGAAGCAGGAGGGCCACGTGCTGTGTCCCTCCTCTTACCCGCCCTCTGCCCTGCCCAAAGTGTTATAGAATGATTTACTATAGAAGTCTCCTACAATTTCCTTTTTCACTCTCTCGCATTTGTAAGGTTTATTTGCCAATTCATTCACTCCATCACTGAGTCACATGTACCTGTGGGGCTACCTCACAGTTAAACCATTTTGTGTTAATGGACACTTGTGTTAGTTCCAGCATCTTTGCCAGACTGTACTTGTCAGGATTTTTTAAAAAACGTGAAACAGACCATAAGAAGTCAGGGTGGAAAAACAAGCTTGAAATGCACAAAATTTATGAGGGGCATCCCACTGTATGCACTGTATCAAGTGATGTAGAAGTGTGTTAGTGAGATGGCTGATACCAGAGTCACCTTTCCTCTGTAAAGTAAACGAGGCCCTTTGCATGGCCACGCCTCATCTTGTATGTGATGAACTTGCTTTTCTTGAGGATAACATTTCTGACTATCATCTATCTCTCATGAGGAAGTGGGTGTGCAGGTGACACATGTCCCCCTTTGGTCCCCAGAGGTACGGAACTACATCTGTGACGAGTGTGGGCAGACCTTTAAGCAGCGCAAGCACCTCCTCGTGCACCAGATGCGCCACTCGGGAGCCAAGCCCCTACAGTGAGTGGGTGGGCTAGCATGAGGTTGCGTTGGGCACGGGGGTGTCTCCATGCATGTCTCCTCTGTAGTAACGGGGCCAGGCCGGGTGTGGGTCCTGCTGGACACAGAGTCATGTCCAGCATGGAGGCATTTGCACACATGTAGGGTGTAGGGGCAACTGCACATGCATCCCCCTACAGTGAGTGGGTAGACTGGGTGTGGAGTTGCATGGGGCATGGGGTTATGTCTGTGTGTCATCTTCATGTATCCTGCTCACCCATGCTGCCCCTCAGGTGTGAAGTCTGCGGGTTCCAGTGCAGGCAGAGAGCCTCCCTCAAGTACCACATGACCAAGCACAAGGCTGAGACTGAGTTGGACTTTGCCTGTGACCAGTGCGGCCGGCGCTTTGAGAAGGCCCACAACCTGAACGTCCATATGTCCATGGTTCACCCACTGACGCAAACCCAGGACAAAGCCAGACCCTTGGAGACAGAGCCTCCTGGGCTGCCAGGTGCCCTGGGGACGGAGGAGGGCCAGGCTGTGAAGCCCGAGCCCACCTGAGGCCAGCAGGTGGGACAGACAGCTCACCAGGGCTCCATGAGTGTGAGGATGGTCTCAGTCCTCAGACCAGCCTAGCACAGCTTCCAGGAGTTTGCACACTGTGCCACACAGTGCACATCAGGGGTGGTGGGTACCACCTCCCTCAATGGGTTGGGGCGGGGTGGGGGGTGTCAGTGCGTGGCCTGTGAACCCTTCTGGCTCCCGAGTGGGAGCAGCAGTTCTTTTCCCACAAATACCAAGTGACTTGGAGCCAGACTCAGATTTTAAAATATTGATTACTCCTCCCACTAAAGCAATCAAGGACATTCGTGATCCATGTTTGAGTGTAACAAGAGCCCTAAGGCTGTGCTCACAATAAATTATTTACACAGCAGCCAGGCTGGTGGGCAGCCCCACCCTCCCCAGGTCCAGTCAGAAGAGCTGGGGCTCCCCGTACAGGTCTGGGTCCAGGTTGGGCGGAGCCTGCTGCCTCTTCTGGAGGGCGGCGCTCACCTCTGGGTCCAGGTCCTTGCCAGTGGCCAGCAACTGCAAAAAAACACATGCTCAGCCATGCAGCCCCTGTGGAATGAGAGCCTGAGCTGACCAACACCTGAAAGCCAGGCACGTGCCAGGGTGGCGACAGCACTGACCCCTGGCACTGCAGCCTAAGCCCCAGACGGCTGAGTTCTCCAACCAGGCATCAGAACCTCAGTGTGATTACAGATTTAGAAACAAACAGTAAGGTGAGTGTTACCTCTGTCATGTTCAAGAAGCACCTTTCCGGGCACTGAGGTATGGACTGCAGTAGGAAGAGACGCGCCTTTGTTATTAGCCCCAGTGGGTCGTCCTGGAGAGAGAATAGGCACAGGCTGGTCAAGGTGCTTTACGGTGTATGAGAACACAGCAAGGCCACAGGGCAGGACAAGTGTATCCGTTCTGCACTTGTGGTTACCCTAAGGTTCCTCATCAGAAGAGGCTGTGTGGCAGCTGGCTTGCCCCTGCCCAGGGACTGCTGCAGGCCCAGGGGCATCGTCTGGCCCACAAGAACCAGCTTGGAATCCACCCCAATGTGGGCTGACACAGGGTATGCTGGCCATGCCCCATCTGGTGGAGGGGTGTGGACTGTGCCTGGCCCCCACACTTGCCTGGTTCTGGTACTGCTGGCTCTGGGTTGCCAAAGTCGGGAGAGTGCTTGTCTCCCCAGCCACAAAGAGCCGGATCAGCTTCAGGTACATGTCAACGGCGACATGCAAGAAGGCAGCCTCCCTGATGAGGGCGTTGGGGTCAAGGCGGGGGAGCAGACTGAAGGTAAAGACGTACACAGTGCTCCATTACACAAGACATCACACAGTGGAGTCATGGGACTGAGGGGCTGGCTTTGTGTGGACATGGGCCCAGGATGCTACCTGAAGAAGGCGAGCGGCAGCAGCCTGATGTGTTGGTCAGAGGCCACGCGGAGCAGGACCCGGCCTAGCCCAGCTCCTGCAACACAGCAACAGCATTCGCTCTCAGTGCTGACACCCCCACCCCTAGTAAGCACTGGGGCTCCTGGGCTCTGCTCGTGGGGGAACACCTCTGGGACATGGGGATGCTGTGTGCAGCTGGTGGGCCTGTGCCCAGCTGCAGTGGGGGGGCCCCTCTTCCTCGGTATGCCAGCATGGTCAAGTGGGCACATTGGACTCCTAGGGTTTCTCATTACATGCTTCAATAAATTCCTTTTTTTTCCTTTTGCTTAACGGAGTTGGTACTGAATTTGTCCTGTGTGTTTGCAAAGACGCTCATTCCTAACCATCTGAAAGTTACTTCCAAACAAGATGATACAGAGTGGGGTAGAGCTGTAGGGACAGCCATGTGGGAGCCTCAGGGCCCACTCCCCATCCCCCACATTGACATTCTGCATCCCTGCACCCTGTGACTGGATGTCCCCGTGACCTGTGACTGGGTGGAGCCAAGTCACTGGCACCTGATAGTCAACGGGGTCTTCACCCATCTCCGTCCCTCACCTGTCTCTGTCAACTGGAAGAGTGCTAACCAGGGCACCTTCCTCCTCTCCAGACACTCAAGGATCTCCGCACAAACGTCCAATGTCTTCAGAGGGTCAATGGCTTCCTGCGATGCACGGGAGAAGGACACTGAGCACTTGCCAAGGCCCTGACCTCCATCTGGGGGTGGTGAAGGGTGTGTACAGAGACCCACACATGAGCTACTTCCTGCCTTTGCACTGCTGCCTTCATCTGTGTGCCAGCTGAAGGCAGAGGCTGCTTTGCGGGATGGAACAACAGGTACGCACACAGGAGATCAGCAGAGGGAGCACCTGTTACTGCTTCAGGTCTTGGGACACCTGCACAATGGCCACACACGGACCTCCTGGGGGGAGGGCGGCGGCATGGGCTGGCTTAAAGCCAAGGGGCTGTCCACATCCGTGAATAAGCCCTCAGAGAGGAGTTCTGGCCCGAGATTGCGCCATGGAGGTCTGAGGAGGGGCTATCCCACCCACCAGGCACTGTGCTGGCCATGGGAGCCCAGGACTCACACTGGGTGCCAGGTATGTTGAGAGCAGACCCATCATAGAAAAGAAGAAGAGGAACAGCACCACCTGCCAACAGAGCACGACAGCATTGGAACCACCTGTCCCAAGTGCAGCGACCTAAGTAAGACAGTGCCTCCTGATGGGCCTTTACATGCCCAAAGTGGGCTTACTCAGAAGGAAAGAAATTCCAACTGCTTTTAAAGTAACAGAACAAATTGCTACAGAATCATTTTACGTCCTTTAAACACAGCTGAAAACAGTGCCGACAAAGGAGACAGCTGTCATCTCAACTGCACTCCCCACCCCTCAACCTGCCTGCAGCCCCTGTCCAGGTAGTGTTTGCAGAGCCCCTGTCCAAGGCAAACCAGCTCCAACACAGACGCAGGCCTGCGCTCCGTTGGCTGGGGAGGTGGCCCCTCGCTGCAAGGCCTAGGCATAGAGCCTGTGGAGCCACCAAAATTCCTTCCAAAAAGGTACAAAAACCTGAAAACAAACTCAGAAAAATCCTCCTGCTAGGTTTTAAATGATAAGGGTGGGAAAAGGGGTTTTCAGGTGGGGCAAGCATGAGGACAGGTGGACTTCCTTGCATTTGCAGGCAGAAGAGGAGGGGACCAGGGGGCCTCACCCCACCCTGTTCAGGCTACGCTGCTTCTGGTTTCTGTATTCTCCATTCTCTTCCTCAGGAGGCTGAGGGCCCTCACACCATGTCTAGACCTCCAACACCCTCCTGGTGCTGGAGGTGCCCTGGGCAAGGGAATGCGTGTAGGTGCAGTGGGTAGGCAGGCTCTCCAGGTTGGCAGACACACTGACCCAGTGACAGGGTCCAGATGGTGCCAGGGCTCCTATGGGGGTGTTGAGGCTGCCAGCCTGGAGCTCAGAGCTGACCTCTTGTACCCACCCACACACTCCACCCTCCCGTCCACATGTGGAGCTGGGAATAGGGTTGGCATGGGGACCACCAGCTCTCAGCACAGACGGCTCATAGCACCTCCCTGGTTGTGTTGAGGATAAAACAGGCTAAGTGAACACTTCAGAAACGAAGGTATGCTCACCAGAAGGCCTGGAATCAAAATCTTACTTAGGCCTATAATTGAAGTTTTACTTCGCAATAAAAAGAAGAGACACCAGACCCACTTGTCCTTGCTGGTTAAAACATGCATTGAATCCGCTTGCTGAAAACGGACACAATAAGCTTTGTTTCTTGCCTCCTCTCGTTCGAAGTCCAGCCTCTTCAGCTCCCTCCTGCCCTGTTCTCTCAGGGCTTGCTGGATGGCAAAATGCAAAGAGGCCGCAAAAACCCAGGTGGGGCGAGGAATGGGTAGGGTGGTGTCCAGGGAGAGGAAGCTTGGAAAACAACAGAGGAACAAAAGTGTGATAACAAGGGCCTTAACCGCAACCATAGCACAGGACAGGCGCTGCCCAGGGGCCTGTCTGCTGCTGGTGCTGCAACCAAGTGGCTCCTAGGGTCCTGGTACTCCCAGCTCTCATGGTGCCAGTAAGGTGCCACCTCCCCAAAAGAGGGGCCCCTGGGCTCCTGGAAAGTCTGTGAGAGGGTCTCTGGGACAGAGACACTCCAAGGCCAAAGACCCCCACCCCAGCTGCTGGGAATGCCTGTCCCACGAAGGGGCCCCATGTGAGGCTGTTACAGGTATGGACAGACAGGTGTCTGGGGAGTGGATGCATGCTACACAAGGGACAAGGCTGGGGCTGGGCCCTCGGTCCCTGGGTGAGGAAACAGTGTACCCAACAGCACAGTGCAGCAGGTCAGGGCCGACGGTACTACGTCAGGCTGGGCTGAGCCTCTGCACCGTGGGCTCTGGCTGGATGGGGCTGACTCAGAGCACCTGACTGTCCCAGCCCCACACAGGCCTCAGCAGTACTGGGCATGGGTGCATCAGGGACTCCAGAGTAGTCACACAGGCTACATGGGGACCAGCTAGTCCTCACTAACCTGTAAGAAGGCAGCACCCTACACCCAGCCTCCCAGTAATACGTAGCCCTGGGCTCCGTGGTCTGGGCAGGGCTGGGGCCCCACACCAGGACCCTGTTAGATGTATGGCGGTGGGGGGGTGGGGTGCGGTCAGGGTGTTTTAGGAAGGCTAATCTCCCCTAGAACGTGATGGAGCCTTCACCCAGCATTTGGGTGTTCTGCTGTTCACAGCGGGCCTGGCAGGGGTTTCCATAGTGCCCTCCGATGCAAAATACTGCCAGCAGGACTCAGGGTAGGTCCCAATGACCGTTTGCGCCCCCATCCAGTGGCCGAGACTCACCTCTTGGCCAGGTCCCTGGCCTCTGCCAGCTGCTGCAATGCTCGGGGCAGTGGGCTCTGCGAGTGCTGCTTCCACTGGCACGTGAGCACCGGTTCCAGGCACGGCCACCACAGCTACAAGGAACAAGGGTGTGGCTTCAACCCGGAGTGACCATGAGGAGCCCAGCCAGCAGTGCCCCTGCCGATGACACCCTCCTGATGGCCACTAGTTCATGCTTTGTGATGTCAAATTCAGTGTCTCATCTCCTTGAGACTCACACAGCTCTATGGGGCCGTCTTGACGCTCTGACAGGGAAGATGCTGAGTTTAGCAGGCACAGCCTGAGGAAATGCCACCTGGCCTGGACCTCAGATGTCCTTAGTGACCAGGAACTGAGCCACTGCCAAGAGCTAGCGCTTTTAAACACAAAATGGCCCTCTTCTAATGAGTTCTGCCACTCAGCTGCAAGCTAGAGAACTTGCCAAAACACTCAGGACAACTTTCGGGAACATACTGCTCTGAGGGAAAAGAGCCTCTGAAACCAAAGTCCACATGCAGCCAGTGGCCAGTATTCTACTTGCCCTCCCCACATCCTTGACCCCAGAATGTTTGGTCACGTGAAAGGATCAGGCAGGGAGCTGAGGCAGCCTCTCTGCTCCTAAGTCGTGAGAGATGGCAGTCAAGACAGCAGAAGGGGCAGGCATTAACACTCATGCGGATGCAGAGGCTCAAAGTTAGTGCTAAGCGCATATGGAACTGGTTAGTGAGCGAGCAAGCGAGTAAACGAATGAGTCAGTGAATCAGTGAACAAGTGAACGAATAAGTCAGTGAGTCAATGAGCACCACAAACCTATGGATAACAGTCTAGCGGATCAAAGTCCCCACCTGAGGTAATGCTTCTCCCCTCCTGCCTGCTCATGGAGGTTCTGAGGCAGGATAAGGGCAGAAAAGAGGCTGGTGATGCCTCTGGAGAACTGAAGACCAATGTTATCTGTATTGACATTTTCTCTTATCATCAGGAAAATGAGAACCCCCGTAGGAGATAAGAGATGGGCTGGAGCCCAAGGTCGCATGGCCTCTGTAAGGAGCAGGGATCTCCAGGCTTACCAGGGCAGAGGTCAGGATTATTGGGCACTCAGTCTGGCAGGTGGCAAGGGTTAGGTTGACCAGCAAAGGGGGGTCTTGGCCACGTAGACAGGTGCTCAGGAGCCCCTGGGGGACAATGTGGTTAGACTCAGCACTTGCCCCAATACAGATGCAAGGCAGCCTGGCGCCCGCCAGTCCTGCCCTCATGGGGCCCTGCCACCTGCACTGGGGGCCCAGGGTCTTCCAAATGACTGCTGGGCAGGCAACGTGGGTGCAAGGAAAGGCCAAAGAGAGAATGGATTACCCGGAAGAAGTGTGCAGTGATGTCGTGGGTCAGAGCACCTCCATGGGAGAAATTTCTCTGCAAAACAGAGCCACGAAGCCAGTGAGAAAGGAGGCCACAGGGCAGCTGTAGACACTGCTCACAGTGTGCTGTGGAAGGAAACACTGTGAAGAGTGGCCCGAAGTCCCTCTGTTGAACCACACCTATCTGACCGTGTATGTGTGCTGTCCCAAGGGAGAGGACTCACAGAAGATGATGAATGGCTTCTGAAGCCGCCATGCTCCCACCTTTTCTGGCCACATTTGTGCATTTTTTAAAGTCAGACACTTTGAAGAATTCCATTGGGAATAGAAGCTGCTCCCCATAAGAGTGGTGGTTTTGAGAGTCACCTCCCTGTCACTTCATGACTGTGACACACTTGTGTCCCTGCTGGTGTGTAAATCATGTGCTGCCAGGACAAGAGTCTGAGGTGGGAGGAGGGGCAGGCCCTGCTGGGTGATGCTCAAATATTCTCCAACGGGAAAGAACATGAATGAAGTGAGTAGCCTAGTGATTAAAGCTTGAGGAACATTCTGTGAAGATGTGAGCTGGTGGGCCAACAACCTTTTCCTCCCCATTTTACTTTCATCCCTTCCCTCAGCAATTCCAGAGTCAGGAAACAGATTACTTGAGGGCCGCGGGCACCAGCAACTGGCCGCAAAATGCTCTCCAGTTCCCCCTCTCCCTGCACGGACCACAAGGCACCCACCAGCTCGGAGTTGACGAAGTGTAAGAACTCATCACAGTCCACAGCAGCTGGCTGCCCTTGGAGGCTGGTGAAGAGCATGCTGGGAGGCAGGCCGAGGAGTATCCTGGAAAAGAAGGGGGCACTCAGTGGCGAAGGCTCCTGGGCTGCTCTTGTCTTGGAGGGCAGCAGGAATCCCAGACTGTAGCCCCTGTTCCCTGCCATGGGGTGTCCACTGCTCATACTGGGCTTGACTCACTGCAAAGACTCAAAATGTGTTGCCGAGAAAACAATTCTAACACTGCATGCAAGCCAGGTCAAAGATCATGCCACAGTGTGACCAAACTTCCTGTGCTACAAACCCCTGTGATAGGAAGTTTAAACCACTTTCCAATCCTTTGTTATAAATACAGCTGCAACACACATCTCCAAGCACACATATTTCTCCTTATTTTGTCACAAGTTCCTTAGGCTAAACCCTTCAAAAGAGTCAGTCACAGTTCTAACCCCCTAGATCCTGTTCTATATGGAACCCAATGGAGAAGCAGCCCTCATGGCTGGGGGTGGTGTGGACAGGAATGCAGACCTGATGGAAGGAAATGGATTGAAGGCAGTGCTGCGTTGCACATCCACAATGCTTTTATTTGACAGTCAGCGCCGTGCCCTCCCTGCCCGGTACCTTTTGTGCAGGAGCAGCTCCCGCTGCCTCTGCAGGTGGGCGGCCACTGTCGACATGTTTCCCAGCGCCTGCAGCCGCCTGCAGAAAATCTGGAAGAGGAAGTGTCCTCGTGCTGCACCACTCCGTCCCAGCTCCAGCTCAGCAACCATTTCCTGGAAAACAGCAGAGGGTGAGGCTTCTCCAAGACCTGACGGGCACTGGAAGATGGCAATCAGGGAGCTAAACCACCTTCCTTGGAAATCGTTTCAAACCTACAAAAATCTACAAGGAAAAAAAAAAAAAATGCAAGGAACACCCACATACCCTTTACCCAGATTCACCTACTGCCACATTTTACCATTTGCCTTATCATTTACTAGCCCTCTCGATATGTGTGCACATGTTTGTGTGTTCATGCATGCAAGATGGAGCCATGTGCGCACAGGTGTTATGTGTGAGTTTTCACGAAGAGTCACAGCCCTTGGCATCCAAGCTCTCCTGGGCATGTTCCCAGGATGGGACGTGCCCTCATGTGACCACAGCACATGTCCACATCATTTTTACCAATAAAGCAATGCCTCTATCTGGCCTCAGTGTAGCCTCACAGCACCACCCCCAGTGCAGGCTTGGCCAGGGTCGGGTCACTGGTTGTTAAGCCTCCGGCCTCCTTTAATCAGGAACATTCTACCATGTCTCTGTCTTTTATGACACTGACATCTTTGAAGAAAATAAACGTGACTTAAATGTCAAAACTATGCTTGTTTTGCTCAAAATAACTGTGACTTGCACCCTAAGTATTTTAATGGTGGCATTTCTCTTTCTCACAGTCAAGTGTGTGTGGACAGTGTGTCTAAAGCTGTCTTCTATCACAAAGGGCTGAGGTCGTGGGACCAGCTTCTATGCACGTCCCCTGCCCTCTGGCTTGGTCTTATCCTGTGTCCCCATGACAGTCCAGTGTGGGGGCTGTGGAGGACCCTGGTGACATCCAGGCACTTCTGGGAGCCAACTGAGTGCAGCTGCTTCTAGAAACTTTCATGGAGCTCTGACTAGGCTGCATTTGTACATCACAGCTTTCATCCTTTGAGAGTCTGACCCACTGTTCTGCATTGCTCACTCAGAAATGTCTGCCCACCACCCAGAGTCACATGTGTGCATGCTGTGGGGAAACTGAGTCAAGGGTTGGGGGGTAGTCTGACGAGGGGTAGACCAGAAGGCCTCACTGAGAGGTGATGTTTCAATGCAGCCTGAAGGAGGTGAGGTTCCGTGTAGGGGGCACAGGGACTTGGCATGGGTTGCATGCACACAGCAGACACGCACATGTCTGTGACAAACAGTGCATGTGTGCCGGCCACCTGCACAATCCAGACAGAAGGCAAAAGCCACATCTCGTCTGACCTGCTGCCACCCCTAACTCCTGGTCCACCTCACCACACAGTAATGACACGCATCAGGGACAAGGGATGGGGCAAGCCAGACTCCCCTTCTTTGTGGGATATTTTCCTCATTTGTCAGTTTCCTCCATGTGCAAAAACACCTCCATGATTTCCATTTTTCATTTCCCACGTTTCGTCACTTGAAGAGCAGTAGCAGGAGGCACACCAGAAAGCACAAAACCAACACAAGTGACAAGGGAAAATGGTTGCATTTACACACCAGAAGTGCAGATGCCCGGGTGTGCAGAGCCAGCAGCAGGCAGGGGACGGGCCTGCACTGCCCTGAGTCCTGACTCAGCTGCTCCAGGCTCGTCCTCATGCCAGGCCTTAATTGCCCCAAGAGAGCGAACTGCAGCAGGCTGTCTGACTGAAGATGGACTGCCTGTTTTTGAGGCAGGAACAGAGTCTCCACACCAACGTGTCTGTGTGTGTAGAAAACGCTGTCTCTGCACCCATGTCTACCTCGGCGAGAAGGACCCAGCAGCTGTGCAGTGCCAACAGCCTCACTGGAGAAGAGTTCCACCTCCAGAGTCTTTGCACTCTCAGGTCTTGTGCCAGGTGAAGGGTCATTAACACCCTTCCCCCGAGCCTGACCTCCACATGGAGCAGCTGAGAATCAGCAAGCTGAAAGCAGTGCAGCAGCAACAATTCTGTTACCAGAGCTGGTGTGCATGTCCCCAAGTGCACGGAAAGCTGTGTTATCACAGCTCTGGTTTCTGTATTTTGTGGTGTTCACACATGAAGTGAATTCAGAGCACACTGTCACTCTGGATCTCAGCATTGGTATGGGAGGTTAGAGTCTTCATTCTACTTGGTTGCGTTAGGACCCACTGTAGAAATTTACAACAAGTATTAAGAGAGGCTTCACCAAAGGGACCCGCTGATGCTGGTGTCCTCTAACTCACCTGCAATCTGGAAAGAATATCCTGATTTACTGCGCGGCCTCCGGGAACCAAATCAGAATTCTCCAGGTGGTCATAACTCCGTGAGCTGGAATGAAAACAAAATAACAGCCTCTTCAGTATCTCCTTTGTGTTGTGGGTTTCCTGATCTCTCCTGCTGTACTGATGTGGGGCGTGGTCACACACCTTGGATGCCCCTGGTGACCACTGCATTTCAAGGGAGCTACTGACACAGAAATCAAACAATAATAACAAAATCATCAACAAAATACTAGCAGAATGAATCCAGCAACAAACAAAAAGAGTTATGAACCATGACCAAGTGGGATTTATCCCAGGTTTGCAAGGGTGGTTCAACATATGAAAATCAATGTGATACATTCCTCAATGGAGAAAGACTGAGAGCTTTCCCTCTAAGATCAGGAATGAGACAAAGATGCCCACTCTCATGGTGCTGGGTCAACTGGATCTCAACATACAAATGAACGAAGCTGGACCCCCTTACCTCATGCCACATAAAAAAATGAACTCAAAATGGATCAAAAACCTAAATATAACAGCTAAAACTGTAAGACTCTTAGGAGAAACCATAGAGATAAATCTTCATGACCTTGAATTTGGCAATGGATTCTTCGATACAACACCAGAAGTACAAGCAACAAAAGCAAAAACAGATAAGCTGTACTCCATTTCTGGAGTGGGCTTGTCAGCCCCACCCTTGCCCTCACCCTATGTTTCTCTTCACCCCTCACTTCCCTCACCTCCTTGTGCCTCAACAGCCCAGCACCATTTTCTCAGGGCTCAGTTCTCCCACCCCCAGCTTCTGCCACGCATTCCTGTTCTGATCCAGGCCCCACACCCTCCCACCCCCAGACCAGACATGAGTGTGGACCTCTGCAAACACCTGCTCTGTCCTCTCATGCTGCCCTCAGCACCGCAGTCCAGGTGCGTCTTCACTGGAGCTGACTCAGACCTGCAGCCCTGATGTGCTTCGCCATGCCCTCTGCACTGAGCTGGACTCCTGCAGACACATGAGTACTGACCTCTGAAAGAAGTCTATCACTGCCTCAGTGAGGATGCTACAGGCCACCTCCAGGTCTCCATCACAGCCCCCCGCGGACGCGGGCTCAGGCAGGTAGCACTGGTGGATTGCCCACTGGTGGAAGTCTCGCCTGCAACAGAGAACAGGTGTCAGCACCAGCAACACTGAGAAAACATGTGGCCCAGGTACCACCAAATCAGGTAAGCCTCATGCCTTGGAGCATGTGCACCTGCTGGTTCCCTGATGGCACCTCAGAGGAGGAGTGAGTCCTCATGGTCCAGTTCCTAGGGTGACCTACATGACCACCCCCCACAAAACAAAAGCATGCCTGGGCCATAGGGCTGACCACCAGCCACATGGCTGCTGAGCTGGACAGCAAAGTGGGCAAAGGCACGAGAATCTGCTATGGCTGACCCAGGTGTCTATGAACGACCCAGAGGCCCACAAGCAAGGGGAGAGTTGGGGAAACACGGGCCCAGACTGTGGATGGCGTGCACAGGATGGCCCTGCCATGCAGAAACAGCCCATGGGATGAGCAGCAGGGTGGCTGGGAGCCAGGAGACCTGTGCCCACATCTTCCGCATACCGCTGTGCATACATACCTAAGCGCCCAAGCACAGTTTCAACCTAACAGGTGGCTCTGATGAAGCCTCAACTCAGGAAACGGGAACCCCTTACTGCCTTCCTGTCCTGGCATATCCAAACCCTACCCTAAAGATGAGCGATGGCGAGCAGGTGAGGAAGGAAAGCCTGCGACAAGCGAGCATGTGAAGTACACCCTCACAGGTTGTGAACCCAAACCTGAGAAGCTACAGTGTCTATTGAAGGAAAAAGCAGCTCACTCTTCTTTGCACAGCCATCCCTTTCCTACGATTCCTATGTACGTTCTGCTGGTCCAGAGCCCAACACTGCAGCACAGTGCGGGGAAGCCAAGCATGTCCCACAGGTGCCAGAAAGGAGCTCTGACCCACAGAGAAGGAGTGTGCAGAGGACAGGTCGACCCTCCCCTGCTCCCCAACGATTCACACCATCCTCCTCTCCCTTCTGTGTGCTCTCTGGGGGTGGGGGGTGGAGGGGCTGTGCATCTCAGGTGGGTCCTCTCACATTCTTCCTATAATCTTCAACAAATCGTCTACCTTTGTGGAACCCTGTGCACAGCAGACGGCATGCCTGGCCTCTCCTGACCACCTCCATGACCAGCACCAGGATTACAGGGGCCTAGTCGTCCTGATTCACACCTCTGTGCCTCTGACTGCACACTGCCTGGCACTTTCCCCAGAAAAGCTGCGTTCCTGCTGGCCTTCCCGTCTGCCCACAATGAGCTCCGTCCACTCCTCGCAAACACTGGCAGCTGTGCCCACACCCTGGCCCTCATGGCAGGGGTGAAGGGTGGCGCTCACTGCGAACCGCCTCATCCCCTCTGACGCTGCCCACCTCAAGGCCTTGCCTTTGCTGCCCCGTCACTTACTGCCATGTGGCCCTTCCTGTCCAGTTTGTGTTCACCTGTTTGACCCCAGCACTCAGGGTGTGCAGTCCTCACACAGGACACCCAGTTGGGGGAGGGGGGAGGCTGGAACCCAAGCGGGTGATTCCATCTGCCATATGGCAGAGGTCTGTCATGTTCATGCTGTATCCCCAGCTTCTAGAACATTCTAGAACAGTGTCTGGCACACAGCAGGAGCTCAGTAAGTAAATTTCTTGAATAAAGCAATGAATGAATGAATGAAATTATGCTCAAAGGTCCTGTGTTAACCTGAACACTAAATTGAGAAGACAGGATGAAACTCGAAGATGATGAAGACTGTGTGAGGTTGTAAACACTTACCTCTCTATGTCTGAAAGAATATCAACTTCAGGCTGAATTCCTAGTTCCAACTGCAGCCAGTCTCTGTAAGTTAACTGAGAGGAAAGGAGCAATATAACGTGAGGGCTGGAGCCAGCTGTGGTACACACTGCTCACCACATCGTCACTCTTGACACTAGACAGCAATAGGCACACTTATTCTTCCGTATAGTTGATAGTTAGCAATAAAAAATTGAAGAAATGTAATAAACCAAGCTTGAGATTTTTTTTTGTGCAAAAGACCAAAACCACCAGGCAAACATCCAGGAAATACATTAAAAATTAGAAAGAGGCAGAAGACCAGAGTAAAACTGGCCTGATGGGGGAGAGGCATTAGTGGGGCATTGGTAGAGATTCTGGTGGGGGCGTTGGCGAGAGTGTTGCTAGAGATGTTGAGGGAGCTGAAGGGAATATTGTTGGGGGCACTGGGTGGAATATTGTTAGGGTTGTCAGTGGGGGCATTACCAAGGATGTGGGTGGAAACATTGGCAGGGGTATTGGAGGGGATGTTAACAGGGATGTTGTTGGGAAAGCTGGCCAGGACATTGGTGGGGATGTTACTGGGGATGTTGGCAAGAACATTGGCAGGGGCATTTGTGCGGGTGTCTTGGTACTCAACCAGGCTTCCAGGGATCTGCCCCATTGCAGGGCAAGCTCACAGCCATGGCTCAAAAAGGTCGAGCTCTTCACTGTGAGCCTGCCAGAGAACTCAAGAACATTTTAGTCCCTCTTGAAAATTTCTGCAAAATGTTACTATTGGGGGAAACTATGCAAAGCACAGAAGACATCTTGTCTGTGTAATTTCTTACAGCGGCATATAAAGCTATAATTATGCAATAAAACTCTGAAGTTAAAAACAGATATCTGTGTTGCTGCTCAAGTGACACATCAGACCCTTTCCCATCCTGACCTCACACTTGCCCTGCCCCCTCACACCTGTCCCAGAACACATGGAGTTCTCTGATGAAACTCATGAGTACGGTGTAAAGGAGAGAAGGGGCACTGGGACCTTACCTGAAATTCCTTCTCCTTCAGCAGTTCTCGGAACGTCCTGTGTCTCCACAGACGGAGGGCGGCCCTTGTCCAGTCTGTGGAAGGCAGGCACAGGGGCCTCCAGAGAAGGTCCCTGGTGACATCCAGACAGGGAGGCTCACGGGCTTCAGAGAACAGTCTCAACACAACAAACTGGAACTGAAAATAAAGACATGTTCTCCATCAGAGACTTAGGAAATAATCAAGAGAAACATACTGCCCACAGCCCACATGCAGAGGACAGCGCTGCCTGCGCTGCGGCCCTTCCCATGGGTACATCTGACCACTATCCCAGCCACACATTTCAAAGTGGACCACTGTATCAAGACCATCATTGCACCAGATGCTGCCAGAGGTGGTGCCGACCCAGGGTCTTGTGCATATCTGCCTTCTCGAACCTTTGCCGAATCTAGCATCTTCATTTTAAAAGTTTGCCAATTTACACAAAAACTAATTCAAAATGGATCAAAGACCTAAATATAAAACCTAAAACGATAAAGATCATGGAAGAAAGAATAGGGGCAATGCTAGACGCCCTGATACATGGCATAAACAGAATACAAACCATAACTAACAATGCACAATCACCAGAAGATAAACTAGATAACTGGGAGCTCCTAAAAATTAAGCACTTATGCTCATCCAAAGACTTCACCAAAAGAGTAAAAAGACAACCTACAGACTGAGAAAAAATTTTTGACTATGACAAATGCGATCAGTGTCTAATCTCTAAAATCTACACGATACTGCAAAACCTCAACAACAAAAAGACAAATAACCCAATTAAAAAATGGGCAAAGGATATGAACAGGCACTTCGCCAAAGAAGATATTCAGGTGGCTAAAAAATACACAAGGAAATGCTTATGATCATTAACCATCAAGAGAACTGCAACTCAAAACTACAATGAGATACCATCTCACCCCAATGAGGCTAGCATTAATCCCAAAAACACAGAATAATAAATGTTGGAGAGGTTGTGGAGAGACTAGAACACTTATACACTGTTGGTAGGAATGTAAAATGGTACAACCACTTTGGAAATCGATCTGCTGCTTCCTTAAAAAGCTAGAAATAGAAGTACCATACGATCCAGCAATCCTGCTCCTTGGACTATATCCTAGAGAAATAATAGTCATCACACAAATAGATATATGCACACCCATGTTCACTGTGCACTGTTCACGATAGCAAAAAGATGGAAACAACCTAGGTGCCCATCAGTGGACGAATGGATAAACAAATTATGGTATATTCACACAATGGAATACTACACAACGATAAAGAACAACAATGAATCCATGAAACATAACATGGAGGAATCTCGAAGGCATTATGCTGAGTGAATTTAGTC